GTGGGAGGAGCTCCAGGTGGGGTCCTAATTTAGCTGGCCGTCGACTGCCTGAGGTGCCGCGCGTGTCGGGATCCTCAGGCAGTCGCCGGCCAGCTAAATTAGGACCCCACCTGGAGCTCCTCCCACTGGACCAGCGCTGACTCGCCGCTGCTCTCCCGCCCTGAAGGTAAGTAAAAAAAAAACATAGCGCAAACATCGGGGCATTTTGACAAGTACGAGTACTTGTCAAAATGCCCTGTTTTTTCCGCCCTCATCCTGCAGCGCCGTAAGGCGCCCGCCTTACTTGCCTTGCGCTAGCGCCGGGCCTGTGTGTTAGTTGAGTCTTTGCTTTCAAAACCCCCTCTGAGACTTCTATCATGTTCGTTTCCCCAAACTTCTATATAGTAACATGGAGGCAATAAAGGATAACTAAACCCAAGAACTAAATAATAGATTGCAGCTTTCCAGTCCTTAGATGTAGTGACTGCTTTAAAAGATTATTTAGCAATCACAGAAAATGTCAGTTGATCTTGCCAAAAAACAAAAAGGTGCCTTTGTAACCTATGAGCTAAATCAGATGAATAAAATAATCTTATCATTCTTCTGGAATTACTAATCTCACCATCACTCATGTAATGGAGATGAAGAGAGTAAGACATATTTGAAGCCCAGTCTGGGTGACAACCATGGTTATCTCTATAGGTACAGTAAAGTGAGGGGGCGTTGTCACCCTAGGACAGGAAGTGTGTATTTGCTTCAATACCATGAAATGCAATATGGAAGGAAAGGCATGAAATAATAAAACTAATGCAGCCACCAGCTCTAAGGACTGATAAGCTGTAGTATAATTACATTTTGGGGGTTTAAATATGCTTTAATTAGAAATAATTTATCACATTACTACACATAGTTTTTCCAAATAATTCTAGTGTGTATCTCTAATCAAATAATTGTGTTTGTTTATTTCTTTTAGATGTAGAGAGTAATGAATGGTGAGAGGCTTGTACTTTTTTTTTTTGTATAGTTGAAATTTTACATAGCCAAAAATATGAGGAAATCGCTCTAAAATGTGGAGAAATTCCCTTTTACATGCCATTAGAACATGTGTCCCCATAAGAAGATTTTCTCTTTTCTTCTTCTAGTGACCACTGTACAATCTTTGATTTCCCACTACTTACTGTCCCAATGACAACGGACACCAGGACAAAAAGAGAGAGAGAGAGAATCTCCCCAGCGGGGGCACAAGCATCAGCAAAAATATGACAGAGCTAAAAAAAAAGCCAAAAATAAAACCAGACAGAAGTTTCAACCCTTCCTTATGCAAGCCGAAACTCAAAAAAAGTTTGTCTGCCTGAATTCGCTCACCTGCCTGCCTGGGTTCGCTCACCTCTCGATCCTGTCACAGCTTTCTGCCGTGACAGGGGGAGGGGCTGGATTCCCCTCTCCCCGCTCCGATCTGCCAGCGCTGACTGGCGGAACGGGTGGTCGAGGGGGCGGGTACAGCTGGCTCCGCCTCTAGATAGGCAGGTCGTCCAGGTCGGGATCCGCTCCGGCTACGGCGTCTCAGTATACCGCGAGCTGTAGCTCGCGGTATACTGAGCTTAGGGTAACGGGAGGACGCTAGTTTGTGTCCTCCCGTTACCCTAAGGAGAACTATGGGGAAAAGCCCTGACCTCATATTTCTCCTTTAAAGAGGAACTTTACCCATATCTTCAAAATAACTTTAGAAATGTTTAGTAGTGACAATCTACAGACAGATACTTCTAGATAATGGCAAGCTTTTTATTCTTTGCATACCTTGTTTTTCTTTTCTTCCCTAGTCTTCTGATAGCGGCCATTTTTTACTAAGGGCAGATTACTATTTATTTATTTATTACAGGTATTTATATTGCGCTGACAATTTACACAGCACTTTACATAGTTGCACATTCACATCAGTCCCTGCCCTCAAGGAGCTTACAATCTAAGGTCCCTATCATCACATACATACATAGAGGGCCAACTTAGAGAGGAGCCAATTAACCTTCCAGCATGTCTTTGGAGTGTGGGAGGAAACCGGAGTACCCGGAGGAAACCCACGCAAGCACAGGGAGGACATACTAGATCTCCCTTTACTTCCTGGAACTCTGGCACATGTGACTAGAACATGTGACCATGCATATCATCTCTGGGGAGGAAAATGCCTTTCCCTGAGATTTTGTGAGATTAAAGCTGAGATTTCCCAGCAATGCTCTGCTGATGCATTTGGAGGAGTGAGAGGTAGATGGAATATGTGTAGGAGAGTAGCGGGTGGGTATAACAACAAACTATAACAACTATTGTCTATTATAGAAAGTGGCCCTAAAGACGGCCCACAAAATACTCGTACACATAAAGTAGATGAGAAATACTGTAACAACCTATAATCTTTATTTAGGACATCTATTGAGTGAATTCGATGGATTTGTAACTATACCCATGAAGATAAGGTTGGACGTTGTTACTAAAATTAATATGAATGGACGGTTAACATTGATCTTTGGAGGCCGTTCCAATGGAGAAATCTCCAATCCAGTGGTCCTAGCAGCAATATTTCCCATCTCATTAAAATTTGCCTTAGCTACGTGAAGAACCTGCAGAGGACAAGCAACATAAAATTAAGATCTAGTTTATATGGCGTGTCACACTTTTTCATAAAATGTATTTCTGAGTAAAAAAGAAAGAAAATGCCGTACATTCCACTTTTCTTTCTTTAGAAATGATGAAAACACAGACAAATATCTATTGACCTGCCAAAAATCCAGTGACCTCCTGTTTAGGTGACACCACAGAGGCTTCGCTGCAGAGGAAGTGTTGTCAGCCCTGCCCTGAGTTTTATTTCCCGCAGGAATACTTCAAATCTTGCCACAAAACTACCCCTCCTCATCTCCATAACACAAGAGGGAGGTGTTCTGTAGTCCGCAGAGGTGGTCTGGCAGGGATCATAGCACTCCATGGGATTTTGGAGCAGCAGAGGAAGAGAACACTGGAAATCAGGAGCACTGGATTTCCAGCCAGATCAGCCGGTATTGATACAGGAATAAAACACAGGGATATGTACATACATTGCAGAGATGTACTGAAGGTGATTTTAGTTTGACCAGACATACTTAAAAGCAGGGATGTCCCGAGGCCAGGTGTCACCTAAAGCAGATACTGTGTGACACCCCGCCGTGATGTCATCGCTCATGCGCGGCCATCTTAATGATACCTGCCGGCGGCCATCTTGGTGATGGACACTGGCAGAGAGAGGAGGGAACGCTCACCCGACCCGAACGCTTGCCCGACTTTTCAGAGGGGGTGACACCAAAATGACTGTCAGTCATTTTGGTGTCACCCCTCCAATGGGGTCACCCAGGTGTATTATTAAGCTGAGTACCAGGTGTATTATTAAGCTGAGTACATACAGATCAAACTACTTAATCAGCCAAAATTTAAATTATGGGTGACCGTATTCCTTTGACAAAAGCCAATCGAGTGCTGTTTGGGTATTCTGGCAGCACTCGGTCCCTGCTGTCAAAATACAAAGGACACAAAGTGGGAGATTTGTTTATCCACGCTGTTAGCATGGATGAAGGAATCCGTTATTTTTTTTTTCCTTAAGCCCCCAAAGTTTATATCCTTAAAACTAACAAATAAAGTTAATTGTATATATAAAAGGTTACCTTTGAAATGTTCAGTTTAGAATCCCCAGTGGTTCCAGAGGGAGTGGAAAACACATCAGTCATTCCGGTTTTAGCTAGTTCTTCCTTTAGGTTAAGGCAACCAGAGAGTGAAATTGTTGGGATGCTTAATGCCACAAGGCTGTTAAAAATAAAAGCAAGGAGGTATTAACAGGAAATACAAATTATTACTTGATACCCGAAGAATAAGTCCCAATGACAAAACAAAAGTTAACACTGTTATTTAATTTTTCTTGGCTGACCATTGTCCAGTAGCTTGCATATCTGAAGTCATCATCAACTCTTCCATGGATAAAGCAGTAGGTAGTAGATGGAGAGTTTACCAGAATGGGTTCCTAAGGGGCAGGGAGGAACGGGTTGCCTGGGTAGCAGGGAAAAGAGTGCTGTATGAAGCAGACCATCCCCGGGATCCTTCTAGTGGACATGCTCTTTGATATTTGCATGGGATCAAAGACTGCAGGTAAGCATTTTAGAGGGAAACTGGGGACACTTTCTTTGAAGGCTTTGATGTCTACAGATGGAATGCTCAGCCATTTGGAAGAGGAAAAAAAGCAGAGAAAGAACTGTGTAAAGCTGAATATGTACAGAAAGCAACCCTCCAATACTGCTGACAGGGAGCAGGAGATGCTCTTCTGTAAAGGAAAGCTATAAGAAGGAATGTACACTGAGAAGAAGAACAGACAGGAGCATGCTCACTGAGGCTGTAAAGCCAAATAGGAGAAAGAAGACTCCAGAACTTATGAAAGAAAACCCCAAAAAATGCTTTTCTCTTTTTCATATACAACAAGGAAGACATCTATTAAACGATCAAGCAAAACTCCACTTACTTGCTGCAATTGCGCTCTTCCCATTTTTTCATGATGTCCTCCAAGTTTGCTTCCACTTCTTCTAGTTTGCCTTTGTTGGCTAGGATGTATAATGCAGATATGCCCCCTTTGTAGGGGACAGCTACAAGGGTGGCTTCATCCAAGACCGCCATGTTGTAATAGCCAGTTGAGGACAGAAAAGGCACTTTCACAGTCTTGTCTTTGTTCACATGGAAATCTCCTACACTTTTATCTTCAAAAGGAGTTTCCGAATTCCCTACAAATAAAATAAAATGAACCCAATGTATAAATGAAAAAATAAAACAGGTGAATATATATACAGTATCTCGTAGAAGTGAGTACACCCCTCAAATTTTTGTAAATATTTTATTATATCATTTCATGTGACGACACAGAAGAAATGACACTTTGCTACCATGTAAGGCAGTGAGTGTACAGCTTGTATATCAGTGTACATTTGCTCTCCCCTCAAAATAACTAAACACACAGCTATTAATGTCTAAACCGCTGGCAAGAAAAGTGAGTACACCCCTAAGTGAAAATATCCAAATTGGGCTCAATTAGCCATTTTCCCTTCCCGGTGTCATCTGACTCATTAGTCTTACAAGGTCTCAGGTGTGAATGGGGAGCAGGTGTGTTAAATTTGGTGTTATCGCTCTCACTCTCTCATACTGGTCACTGGAAGTTCAAAATGGCACCTCATGGCAAAGAACTCTCTGAGGATCTGAAAAAAAGAATTGTTGCTCTACATAAAGATGGCCTAGGCTATAAGAAGATTGCCAAGACCCTGAAACTGAGCTGCAGCACGGTGGCCAAGACAGTCCCATGGTCCACCAAAGAAGTTGAGTGCACATGCTCAGCATCATATCCAGAGGTTGTCTTTGGAAAATAGACGTATGAGTGCTGCCAGCATTGCTGCAGAGGCTGAAGGGGTGGGGGGTCAGCCTGTCAGTGTTCAGACCATACGCCACATACTGCATCAAATTGGTCTGCATGGCTGTCGTCCCAGAAGGAAGCCTCTTCTAAACATGATGCACAAGAAATCCTGCAAACAGTTTGCTGAAGACAAGCAGACTCAGGACATGGATTACTGAAACCATGTCCTGTGGTCTGATGAGACCAAGATAAACGTATTTGGTTCAGATGGTGTCAAGCGTGTGTGGTGGCAACCAGGTGAGGAGTACAAAGACAAGTGTGTCTTGCCTACAGTCAAGCATGGTGGTGGGAGTGTCATGGTCTGGGGCTGCATGAGTGCTGCCTGGACTGGGAGCTACAGTTCATTGAGGGAACCATGAATGCCAACATGTACTGTGACACACTGAAGCAGAGCATGATCCCCTCCCTTCGGAGACTAGGCCGCAGGGCAGTATTCCAACATGATAACGACCCCAAACACACCTCCAAGACGACCGCTGCCTTGCTAAAGAAGTTGAGGGTAAAGGTGATGGACTGGCCAAGGATGTCTCCAGACCTAAACCGTATTGAGCATCTGTGGGGCATCCTCAAACGGAAGGTGGAGGAGCGCAAGGACTCTAACATCCAACAGCTCCGTGATATTGTCATGAAGGAGTGGGAGAGGACTCCAGTGGCAACCTGTGAAGCTCTGGTGAACTCCATGCCCAAGAGGGTTAAGGCAGTGCTGGAAAAAAATGGTGGCCATTTTTGGGACATTTTCACTTAGGGGTGTACTCACTTTTGTTGCCAGCGGTTTAGACATTAATGGCTGTGTGTTGAGTTATTTTTTTTGTCTTTTTTGACATCTTGTCTACTGGACTAATACGGCTTACCCATTTATATTGCACTCTATATATTTACATATACACTGTATATATGTATATATATACACTAACCGTATTGAGCATCTGTGGGGCATCCTCAAACGGAAGGTGGAGGAGCGCAAGGACTCTAACATCCAACAGCTCCGTGATATTGTCATGAAGGAGTGGGAGAGGACTCCAGTGGCAACCTGTGAAGCTCTGGTGAACTCCATGCCCAAGAGGGTTAAGGCAGTGCTGGAAAAAAATGGTGGCCATTTTTGGGACATTTTCACTTAGGGGTGTACTCACTTTTGTTGCCAGCGGTTTAGACATTAATGGCTGTGTGTTGAGTTATTTTTTGGGGGACAGCAAATGTACACTGATATACAAGCTGTATTCTGTGTCGTCACATGAAATGATATAATAAAATATTTACAAAAATGTGAGGGGTGTACTCACTTCCATGAGATACTGTATATAAATATATATA